ATAATGTCGCCTAAGAAAAATTTGCAAAGAGGTATCCAGAAATTTACTGTGGAGAATATGCAGTAAAAAATCATTTTAACTACCATAGAGACTTGCCGCACTCGAGAAAAGGTAATCTTGCGAGTTACACATAACCACAACAGCGACTCACCATATCGAGGGGAGGAAGTGATCGCTTTCATCTATAAATTAGTGACAAAGAACAAATACCCCAATAATTTGGCATGAAAAATCAACGAAGGAGCCAGAATTTCAGAATGAAGATTGATTTGTCAGATTTTGATGGTCACATGAATCCGAACGCATTCATTAAGTGGCTCTCGACAGTGGAACGGGTTTTTGAATACAAAGATGTTCCACCTGACATAAGGGTAAAGCTTGTCATCATCAAGTTAAAGAATATTGCGTCATTAAAGTAGAAATTTTTGAAATGCCTATGTCAGCGAGGGAAAAGGTAAATCAAAACCTGCTTTAAGAAGAAAAGGTAGTTGCAACGCATGCACCTTCCACCGCAATGCAGACAGAACATATTCTTGACACTTCATCATTTGCAGCAAAAAAATCACCTATTAGAGTAGTGCGCAGCTCAGTTCGAGCAGCAAATCTTGAAGTATGAGCTAGTGAAGCCCAAAGAGAACATCATAGTTCGATATCTAAGAGGATTAATACAGTCCATCAACAATGTTGTCCAATTATAGCCCTATTGAACATTAAAGGATGTGCAGACGAAGCCCTGAAGGAGAGACAATAAAGCAGTATTAGGTTGGCACTGCCCTTCAAACAAGATTTACCTATTGGATCAAGCAGCAAAAGTATACCTAGAGGAGCATCTCAACCTACGCCACCCAAGAAAAAAGAAGTTCAGATTGGCGGAAAAGAGAAGACAATCAATACTCTGAAGTCTATCACAACTAGAAAGTGCTGATTTTGAGTGCATTGAATCAGATAGCCCAAACATGAATATGATTACTTCAATCTAGTAAAGAGCAATTGAAGCAATGGACAATAATATGGGAGAAAGTGAAGATGTAAAGGATAAGTATCAGCTTCCAGCCAACGACGAATAGATACTAGTAATTCAAACTGAGCCCATGATGGAGACATCAATTAGTCTAACAATAATTGTCCTATAATGTGGTGAGTATTGAGGAGCCAATATCAAAAATAGACAATCATTGTTGGAGTTGTGAAATGTCTTGAGTGAAAATTTATCTCTTAGGTAGTTGCTCTTGAGTGTAGTCCAGTCCATCATAGATTTCATTTCAAAACCGATTCCTCCAAGCAGGCCTATTTATCGAATGCATCGAGCCAGGTACAAGAAGTGGGAAAAATAGTTCGTGAGAATACCCATTTATGTGCATTTTAATTTCTGGTTTTAGAAAAAAGGATGACTACTTATTTTATCAGGACAACCTTTGGAATGATAAGTGTGCGTCTCAACATAATTTTATGCTATAATTGTCTCAGATAGTAAGATTTTAGAGTTGCTTGGAGTGCGTCTCAGCATAATTTTATGCTATAATTGTCTCAGATAGTAAGACAATGAATTTATCATAATTGTGGTAGACCGATTCCGGTAGCTTCCTAGGAAGAAAAATAGCTCCTCTTTCCTAGAAAAATAATGTGGGGCGTAAGATTACCACGGGTAGGTGGGTCTGCATGCCATGAATCTCGCGATCACGAGATTAACGAACCCAAAAAACTATTTTGTTTTTTTTTTCCAATTTTGGCAGGTTTCTTTCTTTTATTTCTTTTATGTTTAGGTTTTCCTATTCATAAGTGTATCTCCATTAACCGGGAAAATCATTATGATTTCAGTGGCTTATAAATTGTGATGCAGTTGATAAGTAATACAAAATTAAGTATAATCTACAGTTTTCAGTTTGCAGTTGTTTTTTTAAATATAAAATTAATTAAAATCTCAAAACTGTTAAAGCTAGACAAACTAAGTAGCAACTATGCAAATAAAAAGGCACAGCCTTTAATTAAATAAAACTGGCCATGAAAAAAAGGTAGGCAAACCTTCAGCCCTTCCTTTATAACGGTCTGGCTCCCCACCATGTATCGTATCGATATTTTCATGATCCTTGCTACTTCTCTTCTTCCTCTTCTTCTTCTTATTACTACCCTTCTCTTCTTCATCTCCCATATTAACTGTGTACGAATCGTCCCCCTCTGACTCTGCATCGGCATTGACCCGCTTCCTTTTCTTCGACTTAGAGGAAGCGGTGATTTCCTTCTTATTCTTCTCGCTCTCCATATCCGATGTTCCACCGAATAGACGATATTCCGATTCATCTATCTCTTCCAACGAAAGGAACCCTGATTTCTCAAAAGAATTGAGAATGACAGAAATACACAAAATATCAGAATTATAATAAATAATAATAATCATCATGGGTTAAGATCAGATGAAAAACCTCCTTCAACTCCGTCGGAAAGAAAAGCGAATAAGTCGCCGCTGTTCTCAACTTGATTCCAATGAATAAAGTCGGGGCGATCAGATTCAAGAGATTTAAAGTTATTTGTAATCTTCTGCTTGCTCCTCCTCTTTGGATTCTTCATTGCGCCGTCCGAAATAGAAGATGGGCACAAAGATACTTCAGCCATGGCATCCAACTGTACAATATCCTGCTAAACAACAAAAAAGACAACTTCAGATCCTGCAGAATTAGGCTGCTGGCAACAGATTTAGACCAGGATTTGACTTAGATAAATCCGGATTTCGCGAATTTCGGCCGTAAATCCCGGATTTACTGAATCATGTAATTGGCGTGTTTAGTACATCCGGGACGACCGAAGAAGCGAACAGGCTTACCTTCCTCAATGGTTTCTGGTAGGAGCGGAGTGGAAGGATGAGAGAGATGGAAGTTTCAATTGTCTCTGTACGCCGCTATACCGCCGTTGCCTCCCAGCTTGCTCTAATCGCGAGTGTATCGCGACGGTTTGTTCACGTAGGCCATGTGGGGGAAACCGGCAGGGGAGGGGGCATAAGGGAGGGTTTAGGGCATGAAGAGGGTAAGGTGGAGATGGGTTTTAGGGTTTTAATTTATTTTTATTCAACTCTTAATTTATTAGTTTAATTGATTAATAATTAATTATTAATTTAATTATATAAATAAATATAATATTATTTTATGATTAAACTATTAATTTATAAAACATATTTTAAAGTTTCAAACTATTTAATAAAAATATAGGTTCTTCTTAATTAATATAATTAAATAACTATTCATTTATTGCTTAAAAAATAATTTGTTTGATAATAAATTATTTTATATTCTAAAAGTTATAAAAGTATAAGTATGAATAAATTGTTGTGAATTAAAATTTTATGAAATTGAATGACAATTTTTTTATTTGATGAATTTAGTTATTAAATGAATTTAATGGGTAATTTTTATACATCTGACAACAAGTTCCTGTCTTGATAATTCAAGCTCCACAATATCGTTATTAGAGTCTACGAAAGTATATGACTATTAGAAAAAAAATCATTATTGATTATTGAGTTAAATGATAATTTTAATATTTGTGTTAATGATTATAAATTTTTGTATGTTATCTATCCAAAATAATTTGTCATAACTTTTATTTGATATGAGACATCACATTCATTTTCATGAAAAATTTGTGAGATATGAAGGATTGTACTCGTTTAGGATGTTTAACGTCTTATCAATCATTTTACCAACAAGCCTCATGTGATGATTGATAAAAATAGTTGTGTGAATATGACTGTGTGATGGAGACATCATAAGAATTTTGTCGTTTTGTCATTAACTGAATTTGAAGTTATTATAGAAATAGATTGACTATCTATTCTCTTTATAATTATAAATTGCTTTAATTGAATTCAACATCTCTAGTTCACCTTCAAAATATCAGTGAGAGGGTACTAGCCTTCCTAGCTTAAGTCAGCCTTCCTAGCTCAAGTCAGTGATATCACGAATGAGCAAAAAAAGTTTGACGATATATCAATAATAAAGGAGTGCCCAAATGTTTTTTTAAATGATTATATATGGTTGCCTCTAAGAAGAAAGAATTCTCTATTGATTTAATATGAAGTGCAATATCAAGGACAAATGAATCCTACAATATGACAATTAAGAAGCTATAATAACTAAAGAGTCAGTTATAAGACTTATTGAATAAAATTATTTATGAAGCCAAATATTTCTCCTTGGAGAGCTCAAGTGTTTTTTGTTAATAAGAAAAATAGAATTTTAAGTATATGTGTTGATTATTGAGAATTCAACAATGACAATAAAAAAATAAGTACACGTTGTCAGAAATGATGAACTTTTTGATCAACTATAAGGGGGCCTTTGTATTTTAAAATATTGTATACACTCGGATTATCATCATATAAGAATTAAAGATGATGACATGACAAAGATAATTTTTTATATCAAATATGGGAATTATGAGTCTGTGGTAATGTATTTGGGGTCATCAAATGCTTTTGCTATATTTTAGGTTTTTTATGAACAAAATCTTTAAACCATTTATGGATTGATTATTGATTGTCTTCATGGATGACATTCTAGTATAATATAGTGATGAAGCTCATCTTGCAGATCATCGTCACATCATTTTAAAGACACATAAAGAGATCAAGTTATATGTCACATCATCAAAGTGTCTTGTTGCATGTGATCAGTAGTGAAGACATTACAATAGATTTCAATAAGGTTAAAGAAATCATTGATTGACACTGACCAACTACTCTTATAGAAGTCTGGAGTTTTTTAGGTCAAATAAGTTATTATATGAGATTTATTGAGCCATTTTCTTGTATTATAGTGGCTTTATCCAGATTGGCTTGGAATGAAGTGAATTTTGAATGGAAAGATCGTTCTAAGGGAGCTTTCCATAAATTAAAGGCATGCTTGATGATTACTCGCGTATTAAATATCTCCTTTGGAATAAAAGGTTTCCGTATTTACAATGATGTATCGTTGAGAGGACTATAATGTGTGCTTATGTAAAATGAGAAGGCAATTACTTTTGCCTCCAGCGATTGAAGAATAATGAGAAGGATTATCTGACATGTGATTTGAAGTTGACAATAGTTGCATTTTTTTGAAATATGGAGGCATTATTTATATATAATAAGGTGTGAAATGTTCAATGATCACCAAAGCTTAAATTATATTTTTCACACATAATGAGATGAATTTAAGCAGAAGGCGGTGGTTTGAGCTCATTAAAGATTATGATTTCAATGCATATTTTTACACAGGGAAAGTCAATATAGTTGTTGACGATTTGAGTGGGAAGGTTGCGACACTGTTAGTTTGGTCATTATATGATAAAAATAATTAACAAAAGGTATGAAGCATTTATAATTGCCAACAGAGGTGCCAAATTATGGAAGTTTTGCAATATTAAATTAGATGTTAATTAAGCCAACTTTGAAGGATAAAATACGAGAAGAATTGTCACGCGATGTAGAGTTTCATAAAATATTAAACTAAGTGAATCTATACTAGATAGAAAATATAAGATTGATGAAGAAAAGGTATTGAGATATAATAATAAACTTTGCGGTCTTAATGTTAATGATTAACAAAAATAAATTATGCATGAGACATGTTATTCAGGGTATACATTATATATAGGAAACAAGAAGATGTATCCAAAGCTTAAAGTATTATTCTGATGGTCAAGGTGAAGCACATTGTATTATAGTTCATGGTAAAGTGTCTTACTTGTCAGTTGGTTAATATTGCTCATATCATATTGAAAAGTAGGACATTGCTATATATTTTATGATTGGACTACGAAGATCAAAGCAGGGTCATGATTTTATATGGTTAATTATTGATTGACTAACTATGTATGCACATTTCTTACGCATCAGACAAATGAATTTTATAGACAAGTTGACAAAAATCTATATAGGTGAAATGGTGTTACTACGCTGAGACTTATAGTCCATTATTTCATATCGAGACAATAGATTCACATCTAGACAATGGAGAAAAGTTATACAGGTTTTGGGTACTCAACCAACATTCAATATAAATTTTCCTTCCCATGTAGATGACAAATAAAAAGAATTATCTAAATCATATAAGTCCTACTTAGACTCTGTGTGTTTCATTTTTGTGAAAATTAAAAAAATGCATTTACATATGATAAATTTTACCTGCAATAATAGCTTACATACTAGTATCGATTATTGTGATGCTAAGACTAGTATAATTTGAAGCGAAAGAATTTATTTTTCTTAAGTTTATTTTGACGGGGAGTGTCAAACAAATTGGAAAATCTAGGGAGTTGAGCCAATGACTTGTTAACCCATATGAGATCATAGAGAAGGTTGGGAATGTTGCTTATAAAACTATCTTACCAATACATATGCATGAGTCAATGAAAGTTGTTAAAGGTTAAATGTAACCACATTTTTAGGAGTTTTGCTATCATTGTTTGTATTAGATTCATAGTTAATATTTATAATTGTTAGTTTAGGCTCGTGTGCTTCATTTATATCGCTACGAACAAGTTGTACAATTATTTAATTATTCATTAAGTGAATACATCAGCCAAGAATTATCATTGCATGAGTTTCTACATATTTGGTTTGATTTTGCACTTATAATGTTTAATTTGCTTTCCCATTATTCTTGTTAATTATAGTTAAAATTTTCATGTTATAATCATACTTAAGGTATTAATATTAGTTTTCATATTGTTTATATAAAATTCATTAAATAATTCTTAATTATATATTTATATGTAATGTTTTTTTGAGTTGTTGCTTACCTTTTTTTTTAGGTTGTCTGCCAAAATTAATTATTAATATTTTATTTTAAGTCATTGACTATACAACTTATTAAATGATCGAGCATGGTTATCAAGTACAGGGCATTAATTCAAAACATGTTATATTATCATTAAAAAAAAAAAAAAAACTACCTGATCCATCCGCTACTCCACCAATGTATATATAGTAAATCACATATTTTTTATTACTCATATTGCATGTCTTAATATGTTGCTATTTATGATCTAATAAATAACATTTATTTATTAAGTTTAATTTATCAAACTTACTTATTGATATTTTGTTGTAACAAATTTTATAAGGTCGTTCATGACGGACCCTCACCTCAGGAGCATCTTATTTCATATTTGTTATATTCTTTACATTTTTTATGTATTGGCCATTGTATTTACTTTGGGTTTGGGTGATTTTATTTTTATAGTTAATACTTTTTATTTTATTTATTTACCTATTTATTTTTGTGAAGATTTTGTTCCATTCCCTTAATGGATATTACGATTCTAATATTTTTTTATTTAATGAAATAAAATTTACCTTGTATTTATCTTTATTATCCTTACTATATACATAAAAAAAGTCTCTTATTACAAGTACAAAATAGAATTATATACATTCATCATACCCCCATATTGCAGGGGAATACCATCTTTCGAACCCGATGCATAGCATGAGATATTTTATAGAGAAATTTTTTTTTTATATCATTGTGATCATCATTTTCAACACACAAGTTAAAGGTTTCCATTAAAGTTGATACATTATATACTTTTATTTTTATCATTATTGCAGTAGAGAAAAAGAGCGAATATACAAAGTTGGCAGATCTTAGCATGTATTGACGGAGCATAAGAAATCACGAGGTCTTTCGAGGGCACAATAGAAATCTTTATCAAAAATCAGGATAGAAATAACATTTTTTTAATATTTTAAAGTAATATTTACAACCAACCAAGTAAGCGATAATTCAAATACATTATGTTTACCACATTTCAATTCTCATGAATTATAAAGATTTGGCCGAGATATTTTATTTCCTTAATTAAAAAAATATTTTTATTTGATGTATTTGGTAACTAATTTTTAAATAAAATTTTTTTTTTAAACATGCTTAAAAAGTTGGTATATCATTTTTAAAATAGACCCTGTCGTGAAAGCGACGCTTCCTCCATCACATGAATTAATAAAATAATATTTTTAAATTATAAAATACATTTTTTACTCATGCCCACATATAATAAAATTAGAAATGAATTAAAAACTCTAAATAATTAAAAATAAGGTGATATTGCTCTTCAATACAACTCCAATAATAACACTACTTATTCACATCTAATCCATGTTTATATATTCGGCAGGTAATATTATTCCAACTGTCAGAGAGCCACTGGCTTCAAAATTCAAATAAAAAACTCGTTACACCAGGGATGTTTTTCATATCAGCACGCTGGTTCTGCTCATCGTGCCGGCCTCAACGCGGACGCGGAACCCGCGAAGTCTCTCGTCTTTCGAGAAGCGCCGTGGGGTTCTTCAGTTCTATATTTCGAGTTCCCCTTGATTTCGATCGTCCGCCATAGTTAATGGCCTCAGTTCCTCAATCCCGTGCATCTCTGCGCTCCGAAAGGCAGTTACCCCCGTCGAAACTCGCTGGTATGGTCGGTGGGGGTGGGAACCCTCCGCTCGTACGCCCGAAGCCGTCCGGAGGGAAACGTTCAATGAGCATAGGGTCGAGGACGTCCTTTGAAGTTGATGATGCCGGTGATCCTCTCCTCTGTATTTATTTATCTTTTACCGCTTTTTTGAGGCATTTGGTTTGCTGTGTTAATTAATGGTCGAGCTTTAGTTTCTGAGATATTATGTTGTATGTAGTTTGGTGAACTGGGGCTTAATCGGTGTTGGAATTGGAAACAGGCGGTTGGGTGGCTGTTACCTAGTTGCTACAAGAAATATCTGGCTAGATATGTATAATACGAAGTCTTAACCCTTGATAGAACCCTCTCAATTTAAAAATCTAATCTCACAAGTATTTATAGGGTTTTTGCGTAGGATTTAAATTAATGTTTAGGCTTTGTTTGACAGTAAATCCCCACTCAAAGTTTGCACTCCCGCTCGGACTTTACATTTAAGAAAGATAAACTTATGAATCGACTTGTAGATCTCTGTGATGCTAGGCTGACTTCATTCGTATGAACAAAATGCAAGACATTCCAAGGTGAAGCTTTGGGCTCGCCGTGTTTTACACTAGTCATGGCAGGTTAAAGTCGAAGAGCAGTAATGTTCGAAGGATGTGTACCCTTTTTTCTTGTTTAAGGTATATAGTAGGAATGATGATAAACTTGGACAGTGTATTTTAGTTTAATCTATGGTTGCAAGCTTCGCACAAGCAAGGGAGGGGTCAGTTTGTTTTGAAGTGGGCGTCAATGATTCTTGTTTGTTTTGCATGGCTCACTTATGAAATAAATTCTCTTACTTATTTATGATTTAAGGTCCTCTATTTTAACTAATATGCTCTTTAATTTACTATCTATTTATTTGAAAGTAAAGATGTTAGTTATTCCTCACAAACTTTATATTATTATTTTTACTATTATTTTATTCAAAAAATAGAATTAAATAAGTAACTAGGAAGCTGTCAAACTCAAAGTTCACTTTTTTTTTTAATTCTATGAAGGTGAGTTTCAAAAATAGTAACTTGATTTTTTTCAATTTTCACGATACAAACACTTGCGAGCTAAACTCTATGCCTGAGTTCAAACCAATTCCATAACCGAGTCCCAATCCATTTATATATAAAAAAAAAAAAACTATCTCTTACATTAAATTTTCATAATTTCCTTTTTCCTCAATCCTTGAGCCTTGTAAATATTTAATATATATGGCCTTTGTTTATTAAACCAGGCATTTGAGAACCAAGTTATTTTGATTATTAAGAGAACATTACATGTTTGCTATGTTTTAAGTACATCTCAATTGCTCAGAAAATCTACGTACGCGTGTCTCTCACTCATGCGAAAAGGTTATGGTGAATTCTAGAAGGATAAGAACAAGTTGTTTTGGTTATCATCATTTTTTCCACGGCCTTGGTAAGGGTTTAGTTGGGATCAGCTACATCATAAACTTTTAAATTTCGGGTTTAAAGCTCCTCTTTTTTTCTCTTGGACTATTAATATCTTATTTTTGATGTAAATATTAGAACTTCTTGGTTTGCTTTATTTTACCTGTCTAAAATGGAAACTTAGTATCAGTTAAGGTTAGATTCAGATCAAATCATCATAAGAATTTGCTAATGCAAATAGAATAACGGGCATGATATCTTGATTATGTAGTTGATCATCATTTATTAACAATTCATTGACAGTTTTCTAATGCTATTTTAGATTCTGGAAGAGTTCGAGTTGCTGTTAGAGTTTGCCCGAAAAATGCCGAGGACCTCTCTAATGAATCTGATTTTATTGACTGTGTCGAGTCACTGCCTGAGGTCCATTATTCTGCTCCTATTCTTTGTCTATTTTATACAACTTTAACTTTAATAAATTTGTAATTTTCTTTTAATAATCTTTATAATGATTTTTTTTATTCTGATTGAAATGTTTCACATGTGTCGTAATTGCTTGAATTTGTGGCATGCAGCTGAAGAGGTTGAAGTTAAGAAAGAATAATTGGAAATCTGAATCTTATAGATTTGATGAGGTCTTTACAGAAAGTGCTTCTCAAAAGCGAGTTTATGAAGTCGTTGCAAAACCTGTAGTCGAGGTAAATGATTTTGCTCTTCTAACACCATGTAATTAAGACCATGATAATCAGGTGCTCCACCGTTTAATACTGTAATTTTGATCTCTTAGTTTGATATTACTATACTGGCAGCAAGGTCAATGGTAAATTGTGAAAATTAAACTTCAACTCTTAGGGATCTCTTCGTGAAAATGTTTCAAGCATAATGTAGCTATAAAATCCTGTTTTAAGTTTTAGGTGTTTTTCATTTTGTCATATAGCATTTTATGATTTGATCTTCTAATCTTAAATGTTTGGGGTCATTGGCTTAAGAAGGCCCTTTATGCTTAAATTTTGTATTTCTTGCATGCACTTGTTGAATCAAATATTTTCTTTTGTTCGTGGTGGCGCGAAGTAAAAAAAAAAAATTGTGTTATTCATTGAATTTATAGATTTATTTAGTTGCTCTTCCTTTTAATTCAGAGATGAATGAATCAAATATACTATTCAATTTTATGAATTTTTATGTTGAAGATGGTAGCTCTAATGCAAAACTCCTGTAGAATCAAACATGTTAAGATTGACAATAATGCTTGTCATCTAATAGAAACAAATAAATACTAATAATGATGTTTTTTGAAGGAGTAACAAAAAACGAACTTTGAAAAAAAATATGGCGATGAGTCTCTAGCAATATAATTTCACCATACAAGGTATGAGATGATTCAAGCACACCAACATGTAAAAAAAATGACAATGCAAAAATAAAAAGGGAGTCTTCTTTGAACTGCACACATAGATTTTTCAAATTCATTAAAGAAAGATTCAGTTCATTCATCACTACTCTCTCCTACAATGAAAATTGTCCCCGTGATGTAGACAAGGGGCAAGGTACAAAAATATTACATATTTTTCTTAAAGGATAGAATTAAATCGCAATATTTTACTAATTAGAACACAAGGCTAGTTACAGCCTCTTAGGCTTGAACTCAGGGCTTCTATCTTTGGATCTAAGGGGCATGCTACTTGTACTTGAGCTTTTTAATACATATAATCTTTTCTGGAGGATAAAAAATTATCATATAATTTAAATTAATATAAAAAGATTTTATAATACAAAATTATATCTTTATCCTAGATCTATCCCAACTCAGGAGATATTTTTCTTATATGAAAGCTTGAAAATTCATGCTCAGATCCAATGCCTAATCACTCTTTTTTTTTATTTGCTAATATGATCAGTCCCTTTTCTGTTCAAAATAGCTGATTTTAACCAAGTTGGACCATATTCAAATCTACCACAAACTACAAATTGACAGGGGAATGTGACTTGTAATACAATTGAAGTGCCTAAGGGCTTGTTGTACTAAAATGAAGTCGCCGAAGCACCAAAGCTTTCATTTGTTATGATTGCGAATCCGGAGCTTTGTATCAACTCTCAACAATTTAAAATTTTCAACTTTGATCCATGCCATTGATATTCTTCCAGTATGCTCCAATATAAGCAATGAGACTCTTTTAAAGATAATTTTTAACCATCAGATGATGAATTTTTTCTCGACTTGGGTCTCTAATAACCACCATCAGTAAGTCAACAATCTTACCTAGAATCGCCGTGGGAAGTAGATTTCATTGTTGCCTAAATTACTTGATTTTAACCAAGTTGGACCATATTAAAATTTACCACAAACTACAAATTGATAGGGGAATGTGACTTATAATATAATTGAAGTGCCTAAGGGCTTGTTGTACTAAAAAGAAGTCGCCGAAGCACCAAAGCTTTCATTTGTTATGATTGCGAATCCGGAGCTTTGTATCAACTCTCAACAATTTAAAATTTTCAACTTTGATCCATGCCATTGATATTCTTCCAGTATGCTCCAATATAAGCAATGAGACTCTTTTAAAGATAATTTTTAACCATCAGATGATGAATTTTTTTCGGACTTGGGTCTCTAATAACCACCATTAGTAAGTCAACAATCTTATCGAGAATCACCGTGGGAAGTAGATTTCATTGTTGCCTAAATTACTATTTTTTGACTAAGAACTTACAAACTTGTTTTTGGATGTTAAACTAGAAGTAGAGGGAGAATAAGAGAAAGAAGACTCTTAATTACAGTTGGTGGTTCATGCTATAGAGTTAATTTAATAAAATTAATTTTTACACTAATAGCTGAATCCTTTAAAATTTCTGTTACTATGTATTCATTCCAAAATTTCAAAATTATAAGGATATATTCTTTTTGCAGCTAATTTCTTTCATGTTTCTTGTACAGAGTTCATTTAGAGCACATTCAAACCATAACCAAATCTCTTTCTTTGAACTCCTATTGCTTTTGTGTTCATTTTAGTAGCATGGTAACAATTATAGTCAACAATAACTTTAGTGCGAATACTTTTATGTAAATGATGTTTCTATTATGCAAAAATGTTGGGAAACTGATCAGCTTATATGCAATTAGTGATTCATTTAAATTTTCAGGCTTTATATGCTAACAACTAGTAATAATTAGATTAAATTTGCAAGCAATTCATAGCAGTATACATATTGTAAAGTAAGTTACAAGCAAACTTAATCAGACGAGGCGTCAAATCCCAATTCAGTTTATAATCTTCTATCAAACTTCATGACAAATCTACTAATATTTTATTTATTGCTGAAGTCTGACCATCTATGGATGACGTGCAATTGAAGAGAGAAGTTTATTGCCAAGGTTCTTATAGAGTACATTTCAAAAATGACCCACAAACATGAGATTATATCGGAGATAATTGCTTTAATAAACTAATTTATTTGTGAGCTCTGAAAATTTCTACCTGGCCCACTTGAGAGAGGTAAGCGTTTGATGTCAAAATTTCAAAGAAGGTTCGATTTTAGAGAAGACGTCATCTAGAAATTTTGGTCGTCTTTGCGAGAAATTTTTAATTTAGTTTTCGGTTTTAAGTAGGTGCAAGTTAATCTATTTTGGTCGTCTTTGCGAGAAATCTTTAATTTAGTTTTCGGTTTTAAGTAGGTGCAAGTTCTCCAGGTTAATTATTTTGCTCGATATAGAGAGAAAACATTAAATTTAGTTATTAAAGGATAAATGCATAGTGTATAGCAGTAGTATCTTGATTTTAAAATTGAGAAACTTTATTTGCTCGATATAGAGAGAAAACATTAAATTAGGGCTAGTTATTAAAGGATATATGCATAGTGTATGGTAGTAGTATCTTGATTTTAAAATTGAGAAACTTTATTGCATTTAGATTTGGAGGGGCGGTGGCGGGTGGGGGGGAGATTATGACAACATCGGTCGATATCCCATAGTTAAGCTGCTTTGAGTTTTTCGAACACTGTGGTCTATTTAGGTAGATATAACAATCTACCTAACATGACCTAAGTATGCTTATCAATAGGAATCTAGTAAACCTGGAATGTATATTTTTTATGAGGAATAAGTTGATTTTAGTTGACATAAAGCATTGTGCTCTATAAATACATTATATAATTTAGCATTTAAGAGATTCGAGTCATTGAAAAAGTTACGTGTTTTGCCATGATTAGAATTTAATGACATCATGTTGCGGCGAATCACTCACTCATAAGGACCCAAGATTAATCTTACATTAGTCACCTTTGAAAGAATATTGTAGATAGTGGATGTGTTATTTTTTTAAGCTTAGGAGTGGTAGATTTCACTTGAATATTTTGAATTTGTTGATGTTTTTGAAATTCCTGTATTATTGTCTATGCTCAAATACCTGAACCATAAGTGATCTACAATTGAAGGGTATTTGAGATCCATTTTGGTTGAGATTTACTTTCAACTTGATCATTGTTGAGGTTAAATAATTCTATTGTCACTTTAGATCTTGTTGATTCTACTTGTTTGCCCATAAAGTATCGTGTGGTTTATTGATGAAATGTAAGCATTTCCAAATCAATAAAGCAGTGCGGCCATTTTCAATTTCATTTACTTAACCACATGTGCAATATGATTGCCATCTTCGTTATTGCACTGGCATGTTTGTTTTTAGAAACTGCGCAATGTTTGAATACAACTGTGCTCTCTTGAAAAGTTGAATCCACTCCATATTTTGGCCTTAGCTTCTTTTGAGGTCGTAGATATTTATGATTTTGATGATCAAAATATAAAACAATCTATCAATGTAAGTGATTAAGCCATTGCATAAAACTCTCAACCATAGACGAAATACTTTTTCTAGAAATTATCCAGTTTTTAACTGAAGTAAAGTATTATTTTTTTCTTAAATTTATTTGACTTGGGATTTGACCATTTGAATATAAATTAAGTTATGAGTTTGCAATGCACTTGTTTGATGATGGATATTTTTTACATGAAATCATTTAGTTTGTTACTACATTAAGATATTAGATGATTATTTTGTCTTTGTAATCATATTCTAGCATTGATATGATATGGTTCCTGAAGACTTGAAGTATATAGACATCAGTGAATAGGTGTTTTGGTATATTTTCTTTTATCTCTAAATATTTCAATCATCAAACTTAGTTTAATTAAAGTATCCCTTATAAAGTAACTGATATTGGTTGCCCTTATTTTTGCAGAGGTTTTGTTATATATTTAAAGTTACAATTCTATGGCATTTCCTCATAGTTGGGGATATTCTCCTTTTTATTTCTCTGTTATTTCCTTTTTTCTGTTATTTTCTTTTTTGTTTTACCACTTGTATCAGCTTATTTATGGGCACTTGGTTTATAGTGAATGAATTAAGTAGTTCTTAATTACCTTAACATATTATCACAAGTGCTAAAGCTTTAGCCACCAGTCATCTTTCCCCATTCTGCGCCTTCTTTCTTTCTTCTTGTTTGTCGAAATGCCACACACTATGCCTCCTTCATGGCTTTACCTTTCTGTCATATTTATCCAAGCACTCATACGCTTTGCCACTAGTATGTGCAACCCGCTTATTAATTATAACTACTTGCCCGTGGACTACTAACTTTTGCACTCTCTTACTTTCCCACGTGACACACCTTGCTTGTCATTATGACAAATTCTTCTTTACTTCAA